AAGGTTGTGTGAAAGATCCTTAAATCAATCTAAGTTATGATGATATAGTGAGAGTTAGTATAGTTGGCAAAGCGAGACCACTGAGTTGGGTTTATCGCTTTAAAATTAGGGACGTGTTATTTGTTCATTAAAGATCGTGAGGCAGCATGAGATTGACGTCCAATATCTGCGAAACTGGCAAAGACAATGCTATGGTCTGACTTATACATATCAGTAGTATCAATGTATGAATAAAGAAAGTCTGAAATTAGATTTGGAGAAGCAAAAATGGAGTCGATACGTGTGTTAGCTTGTGTTGAAAAAAAAGTGGGTTGGGGTGTGTCATGACAGATGTCATATAATTCCAAAAAATTTAGAGCGAAAATTCTTTGATAAAAGTTGTATCTCCAATGTAATGTTTGTTCATCATTGATGTTTGACCAATATTTGTCAAGGTTTGCGTTAAAATCACCAAGAAGAATGATTTTGAAATCAGATTTCAGACCATCTTTAATGAGATCAAGAATCAATCTATGTAATTTAAGGCGTTCATGTTTGGTTGAAGCATTGCGATTGGCATGTAAATAAACTAAAAAATTCTTAGTTTGATGTGACCAGTGAGGAAAAGGTCTACATAAATGAATCGGTCACTGTCTAGAAAGGTTTTTTGAATATAATTTGACCATATGCGCTTTATGAGAAGGCCGACGCTAGCACAGGTGTTAATGGAAGAACTCTAAAAGAAAGAAAAGTTGGGATCGAATTTATTTTTGTAAGTCTGGTTGGATCTGTGACAAGTTTTAGTTAGACTGACAAAATCTGTGTCGAAGTCTAAAAAGGTATCTTTGATTAATTTATTTTTAAGTCACATTGTAAGGAGTGAACGTTATATAGCAAAGGTAATGGTTGGTGAAATATTTGTGTTATTAATGTTACTGGTTTGGGTGTCTATATTGAATAAAGAAGTAGTAATTATGTAATTATTAATCATGATAAAAGTTGGAGGAGGGGTGACAATTATTGGGATAGTTTATCAGAGAGAGATTAAAGTTGTGCCATCATGATATTCATTTGTTCCTGTTAGGCCTTAATGATAGAGTTCTGTTCATCAATGGTCTTCTGAAGGTTAAGATTGACGGGACTAGGGCCAGAGTGAGCATTATCATCAGAGGAAGAGTCATTTAAACGAGAACGTTTATTGTCATGAGAGGTAGAACTTGGTTTAGGAATAATTGGAATGACAAGTGGTGGGATGAGTGGAGTAAAGGGTTTAGAAGGAGGTGAAACTAGTTGTGAATGTTCTAATTTTGTAATTCGAACTTCAAGATCTGACATGGCTTTTTTCATATTGGTCAGCATATTAAGAATTTGATCAAGTTTTTTGTTGGTATCATTGGTATTGTTAGGATTGTGGATAGAATTATCGACAGTATGCGGAATGGGGCCAGGATTCTTATTTTTTCTTTTGTTGTTTCCAGAAAGAGCATCAGAATAATTGAGATTTGGGTCACGTGATGAAAGCTTTTGATTCCTATTGTCATTATTATTTTTTAAAATTAAAGAATGTGAGCCAGCAGGTTTGAATCTGTTATAAAGTTTTTAAACAGAAAGTAGATGTGAACGTTGTTTTTTGGGTTCAGATGGTTCATTTTCAGGTGAAATTGGGATTTGTGGACATTTCATAACGAACGATATGGTCAGGTGAGCCACACTTATGGTAGCATTTTGATTCAGCAGGACATCATTGTAGGTTATTGCTTCCAAAAGCATAACCAAATTTGATAGCGTCATTGAGGATTTCAGATGTTTCAAAATAGAGGATCGCAAACGGTCTAGGTTTGTAGTTATTAGAGCGTAGGATGTATCAAGCTTTTGCTTTAGTAGCGAGAGCAATATCTTGGAGGTCACGTGCAGAAATACCAAATGGGAGATTGGTCAATTTAATATGGATATCATTCCTTTATTTGACTTGTTCAGGAGAGACATCTGATAGGTAAACTCTTATGCAGTCATTATAGAGATAACGTAACCATTGGGTATAAATAATTGGATGGCTTGTGGATCGTCATAGGTAATGTAGATGTGTTGCCAAAGACTACGAGTTTGTAATCTAACATTAGTTATAGTACCATACTTGGTAAAAATAGATGTAAGGGTGTCTCTTTTGATGTTTAGATGAATGTCATTAACATGCAGGATGCGCTGCTGGAATTGCATATTTTCTTTGTATGATTGATAATTAATGAACTGGTCAATTCCCAAATCGGAAAATTTCATATTGAGGGCTGATGTTAGGATAACCTGATTATCAAAATAGATGATTAATGATCTGACAAAGTTAACGCGTCGAACGTTAGCTCCTTTAAACGCGTCGTCTTGAGCAAAAAGACCATTGATAGTCTTAATAATAGCTGCAGTAGGAAGTTCACAGGCAGATGTTTTAATAATAGAGGCACAGGCGAAAGGAGTTGGGCGATAAATAACAGTAAAATTGAGGTTTTCAGTATTCATGTTATCATCGTCATTGATAGTAACATATTCGTTCTTGTCCAAAACATTAGGTGGAGATGTATCTTTCAAAGATTAAAAAGTATCATTGATAATTTCCTTGTTGAGTAGAGAACTATCGTTTGGAACACCACCCGAGGAAGAGGCTACAGGTTCTGGTTGTTTTTCTTTAGGATCATAACGGAACTTATTTTTTGGGACAGTTTGTTTTTCAGTTCCAGTTCGTTTGTTGCCTATTTTATCAGTTTGAAAATTTATGTAAAAACTCTTTTGAAAATAAAGGTGTTGTAAAAATGAAGAATAAAACTAACTAACAGAGTTATAAAATATTAAAGTAAATAAGGTGAAAATTTTTTATTTTCTAAAAATTTGGGAGGGAGAGAGAAAGAGTTTTTTTCTATATATAAATATGATTAGATACATTTTTATATAATATCGTAATGATCTTTTTTACCGATTTTTTGCTGATTTACTGATCTGATTTGGATGAATTTTAGCTTATTAGAATCGCGGTATTGAGGAGAATCTGAATAAAGTATCAGTTTTTGAGTAGTCGGCCTAGTGAAAAAAGTTTTCTACACTTAAATTTTATTAAGTAAGAATTTCTGATGTAGATCGTTAAATTGCGTAATATTGGTCTTAATAATCGCACTTCAAATTTTTACTGAATATTAGCTAGGTTTTGAGGTTTAAAACAAATACAAAATTATGTTTATAGGATTCGTGGTTAGTGAGTTATAAGCTTTTAAAGGCAAGTAACACTACTTGCGTTTCTTTTGTAAACCACTGTATATTAACTCATATAGTGCAAATTCTTTTTCAAAGCTTATTAATGAGTAAATTCAAAAGATTATAGATTATGAAATATCTTTAAAAAAGTTACCTTTGAAAATGGATAAAGTAATCAAAATTTCTGAGATAGCTTATCCTGAAAAATTTTGCTCTATCTGAAAAAAAATTATCATTCACTCCTCAAATCACTTAAGCTAAGGCAGAGATCTATATAGATTATGATGAGATACATTATGATGATGAGATATATTTTGATGATCTCAGAAAAAAATATGAATAAAGTTAAGATAGATGATGATAGCGAATATAGTTATGATAATAATTCTAAAGAAGATATGCCAGATGATTAAGATGATGATAGATATAATATATATAATAAAAACAGTAAATATGAAGATGGTTATTATTATTATGATGAAAGATATAAAAGAAAAACCTCTCCAATAATGAGTCCTATTATTTCTCTGATAATCACTTAGGAGAATTATGCAAAGCGTCTTCAGCTCAAATAGAATCATATTCTTACATAACACTAAAGGTTTATCATTTCGTTTCTTTTTTTTACGAATCATATGAGTGGCTTATACATTATATGCTATAAAATATCATTGATTCATGTGAATATGAATTATTTTAGTATATTACAAAGTCACTTTGGGACTTGATCTAGCCAAGAGCAGGGTTAGCAAATTATAAGGTCTTTTGACTTGAAATTTATAATTATAATAAGGTCATTTGAGGTCATTTCAAGGTCATTTGCCAACCCTGGTTGAGAATGCATTATGTATTTTTTACTCGAAAGTTCCAAAAGTTTCAAAAGATATAGGCTAACCCTTTCTTTTTTAATATCTAGTGAGTAAAAGAAGTATTTTGCAGATCATAAGATAGGGCATCATTAAAAAGATCAAAAATGAAAATAGAGCAATTAGAATCTATGATTTACAGATCCTCGAATGCGCTGTGCATAAATGGTAAATTTTTATTATCCTACTTGTGTTAATACATTCAAATTATGTATATGAGCTAATCACACATTAATCCGTTTTTGAATAGGAATTAGTGATACACATCCTAACATGCACGATTCGTTATTTACAGATCTCGATTTATGATGAGCAAATATTCCATTTTATATTTCTTTTTTGTGACTATAATTGAAATAGGGGGATGGGACAATAGTATTCATTCTACAAGAAATGAACGGTAAATTTTATTATTATTAGATGGACTCAAGGCTATTATAATTGCTTTAGATAGAAAAAATTGGTTAATATTATTTCCGCGATTTGGGGTTGATCACTTTGATCTTTCTCAATTCAGATCTACCTTTAACCAAAGGGTTTGTTATTGTCGATTCGCCATTGATGAGCAAATCTACAAATGGCAAATTTGGCAATTAATCGAAATAGGTCTAGTTAATCTTAGCAATATATTTCTTTATCAAGACATGATCATAATTTTAACACACTCTATATATGAAGAATGACCAAAATTACTCTTCATGGTATAATTAGAAGTCTAGGTACTTGTGGCCTTTTCGAGATAGAAATAGAAAAAAAATGAACGTATTGTCGATCTTAAGAAGATCATTATGAAAAAATATTGTCTTTTCGAATAATGATTTCTATAGCATTAGGTTATGGAAAGTGAAAGTATTCTTTGAAAATAAAGCAATATTTGATAATCTCAAAAATAATAAAAAGGCCAGTGCCGTTAGGATAATGCTAAATGGTGAGGAGCAATATGGATCGGAAATGATTGAAGATACGTTTGAAAACCCACCTAAAAACTATTACATTTTGTCATTCAAGGTATTTGTGATCTAAAAGACAATGCAATTATATCTATGATAGCATATTAATATTTTCTTTTTAATTGATAACAATTTAGGTTATTGCTACAAATGTAAAAGTGGCCTTGATAGATCATTAAATTACATGAAATTTCTGATTTTCATATAAACAACATAAACAACGAGAATGCAGGTGAAAATGGACCTGAATATGGAAACGAGGATGAAGGAGATTCCTCATCAACTGAATCTGAATTTGTGGGAAATTTAAAAAATGTTCACAAATACATTGATATGGATGATTCTGGTTATAATAATGTAATTGGTAAATATTTATAGGACTAAAGTCCCAAAGTTTGTATTTTATTTTGCGTGGTAGCTCACTTTATATCTGATATTGTAATAAAAACTTTTCATTTCTATAAAAAAGTTGATTATTTTTTCGCGTGAGAGTAATTGGGTAATATTTAATCTTACATTCGAGTTAAAAATCACATGATCTTGTGGGATAAGGAATCTTTTGATTTATGATAATAAAGAAGCTTTCCGCATATGTAACACTCGCAGTATATGCATTACGCGTAGTAATCACGTCACATATGTCTATTTTTAAAGGCAGGGTCGCAATACGATCGATTTATTAATAAAACCGGCCAAGAAAAAGATGTTATATTCATCATACGAAGCGTCTTATGAGTTATGGCGCTCAAATGTTCTGGCATATATGTTCATCACGCAACTTTGAAAAAAACTGCCTCTTGAATTTGTATATTGTACATGCCTATCATGATGATTAAATTTGTAAATCAGATCTCGGAATGGATGTATTACCCTGTTGACGTTAGCCCATCCAATATTACGCGTATACACTATTATTCCGATTTTTTTATCCTTTTTTTGCGAATACAATAGCGCATTTTGAGTAATTACTACTATGATGATGTGATCGTTCAAAGCGTATTCCAAAAGCCCTGTCAATTTTAGACCTATTGTAAATTATATAAAAAGGTGACCGCCCCCAGTTAGTGAATCTTTATAAGAAAAATCCTTTTTTCCTCTTAGATTCGGAAAAAAAAGAAACAGATAATAACTATATATTACTCTGCAACTCGAAAAAAATTAAGCAATAAATTTCTTGTATGAGTTGGAATGGAATGTTGTGAAAATAAATCATGGTAAGTATGAATTGGAAATATTGCATTTCTTATTTTTTTTTTTTTACCTCAGTTGCTAATCCCCCGAATTAATTCTGTAGGTTCGAAATTTCTTAAGTTCTCTTGCGGGGAATAATCTTTTACATAATCTGTGCGGGTGTTAGTGGCGTAGAAATGGATGGGATAATTTATTTAAGAAATCTAGTGTAATAAAAGAGTGTGGGGATGAGAATCTTGTAGTTAGTACCGATAGAAACAAATTAACTGTAGAAATTTACCGGAAATGTGTGAGAGCAAAGAAATAACTTGATGCTGGGACTCGCATTAAATGGCCTAGGATCCGCGTACTCCCTCCCTCTTTGATAGCATCACATATTTCGCTTGACAATCCTATATAATTTTATATATTTATATATTTAAAAAATTAACCCACGTTTGATCTTAACTTGTACAAATAAATAAAAACCTATCTTATTATTTTATTAGTAGAAACGATGTGCTACAGATGAATAGGATGTCGGCAACTACCAAGAGATTACTTGGATATCCACTGATTCACAACTTCACCACCAATTGACTGGTCCGACATGAAGCTATGGCTTCTCCTATGTATTCAAAGATGCAAGGGAAGTTCCTCACCACCAATTGACTGGTCTGACATGAGCAACTTCAGCAAAATCAATGGATCGACTGTTACCGCCAATTGACTGGCCAGACGCAAGCAGTCGTTAGCTGCCAAGTCTCATTACTTCACCACCAATTGACTGGTCCGACATGAAGCTACGGCTTTTCGCAACTCATAACTTCACCACCAATTGACTGGTCAGACATGAAGCTATGGCTTTCCTGGGTATCAAAAGATACAAGGGAAGTTCTCACCACCAATTGACTGGTCAGACGCGAAAAACTTCAGCATAGTTGCATCATCCAATATATTCATCTTTCGAAAAGTTGAAAGGATCTATTTGTAATTTACGGAGCGCAACTTCGACAAATTCCTGATAAGGGTTGATATGCCGTAGGTGGTACAGGAAAGATAACGATTTACGTAAATATATTAGATATGCGTCGCGTCGCGTTTCCTAATACCACGAGACAAAAAATGACTGCAGTTTTAAGAACGAGAACATACTTGAATTTCAAGGTGTCTGATAATGACAAAGACGTAAATGATTACTTTAGAGAAGTCGAAGCACAGTACTGGCAATTGAAACACTACCTTAATCATCGTCTGGAAAACGAAAATGTGATTCGACCCTGGACAGAGATTTATGAAGATTGGCGGAAATCGCTCGAAATCATTAAAAAAAACAAATATCGAAAAATACCAGACTGTGTTTGTGCGTTATGCAATGATCTACTAGACATTAGTGAAACCTTTGAAGGTGATTCAGTTCTTCAAAGTTGTAAGCGGTGGTACAATACTTTTTACGACCGAAACTTTGATTTTCAGTTAGCCGAGAGGGGTCAGGAACTAGAAACGAGTATAATGCAACAGGAAGAACGTGCTTTTTCCTCTCAGAAAAAGTCGGAACTATTCTATAAAGTTACAAATAAGCTTAACCAATCAGATGATATCGGAAAATCCGACCATGTCTTGGGAAAAAGAAG